TAAAAAGACTTGGATTAGAAGTCCCATTTGACACACGTATTTATCTTCTGGGTACCTTCCCAGAAGAATTAGAAACATCATATAGGTGCACCCATATTTATAGCAGCACAGTTTGTAATCGCTAGATCTTGGAAAGAACCCATAAGCAAATCAACTGAGGAGTGGACAAAAAAGATGTGGTTTTCAATACAATGTAGTGCTACTCAGCCATAAAGAAGAATAAAACTGAAACATGGATGCAACTTGAGTCCACACACTCAAGTGAAACAAATGGGATTCACATGTGTAAGTACCGAACTGTCTCTCTGTTATGAGAAACTAAAAGAGTAAATAACAAACAAATTGTACAATAGAAATTGTGACGTGAGAAGAAATTGTTCAAAATGAAAGAGAAACTAGGGGTGGTGAAGAGGGAATGGAGTGAACAATAAAGGAAAAATAAACAACTTCTAAAAAGCATAAAATGGAAACAAATCCTTGTAAATAGGGAGAATAAGAGAGGCTTGAAAGGAGGAGAGAGGATTAGGAAAAAAAGAGAATTAAAAATACGTCATGTAGAGTTACAAATTCCCTATGGTGACTATGATCATTATGTATATTTAAAATGTACCAATCAGCTTATAGTTAATAGATATTATATGTAAATATATAATAGATAGTTAATAGATATTATAGATAGATAAATTAATAGACAAAATAATTTTCAAAATAAAAAATACTATATAAATAGAGACCTCGATACCTTTTATCACTATTAGACAACTCAACTAGACAAAATACCAATAAAGAACTACCAGAGTTGAACAAACCTTCAAACGAATGAACTTAATAGATACTTGCAGTGTTCAACCCAACAATAGCATATAAATTCATCTCAGCAGTTCATAGAACTTTAATTTTATTTATTTATTTTATTTTGAAGAGAATAAAACCAAATGTGAAAAAGCAAAATAGTGTCAGTCAAAACAAAAGGATGGACACAGTACATGATGTAAAAACAAAATACAAAGTGATCAATAATGGTTATCATAATGTCTCTTGTTATCTTCAACAGAATTGTCCATACATCAGGTATAATAAAACTGAACAAAGCAGTACAGGACAGAATCAATAAAAATGAAACATTGGAGACATTACAGGACTTCAAAAGAAGATAATAGTCAAATCAGAAAAGGTGTCACAGTGAATCTTATTGTCTTCAAAGTAGTTGCCTATCCCCTCAGACTTGATACTATCAAACAAAACAGAATAGAGTAAAACCAGTCAAAACAAGACAGTGAAAGCAATACAGGGCTTCAAATCAAGTTAATAGGAAATCAAATATGGTTACCATAATATATCCTGCTATCTTTGAAATAGTCTCCATGCCATCAAACTAATACAAGTAGACAAACTGGAACAGAATAAAACCAAAGTAAACACAACAACAAAAACAATATGGGTTTTAAATCATGATAAAAGATTAACAATGGCCACCGCCTTCCTTTTTTTGACAATTCCTCCCCTTTCAGTTTCACAGGGTTTCAAAGGAGTTTGCATCCCACAACTCCTTTAGTTTTTAGATTAGGCAGGCAACCTGCTATTCACCTAAGTGATTCTGAACTTTTTACCCCTGAGCATGATCTCAAGTTGAATCCATTTACCTACAAGAGCCTCAAGGATTTCTTTCTTTATAGCTGAGTAGTTTTCCATTGCATAGAATTGTCATGGCTTTCTAGCCATCTGCAGCTGATGGGCAAGCTACCCCTACTTTTAACTGGTTCCCTGTCACACAGAGCATTGTTTTCTCTGCTTTGACTTTCAGTCTATAAACCCTCTTTCAGGTTAATTGCTTTTCTTATATAGAGCATATTGATAGACCCTATCTCCTGATTCACCCTGCCTGTGTTTCTTGGAGTGAAGTATTCCAAGTCCTGAAAGAAAATAACCTCCAACCCAGACTGATGTATCCTGAAAAACTGTCTCTCAAAATTAATGGAGAAACAAGATACTTCCATGACAAAGTGGAACTGGGGGACACACGAAACCAACCCTACAAAAAATACTGAAGGATATTCTAGAGAGAGAAAGAAAAAAAAAAAAGACCACGATTCCAGCAACAGTGACAGAGGAGACTCACTGAATGGGGCAGACAGTGGAATGAAGGGGAAAGTAGACAACCAACAGCAGACAAATAACATGGCAGAGATGAAGGAAAGAAGGTTGGCTATAATCACTAATATGGATGGCCTCGATTCACCAATAAAAGGACACAATTCTCACTTTAGTTTCTTCTGGGTTGAGGGAACCGGCTTCTTTCCTTCTTGTGTTCTCCAGAATGCTGCATTCCAGCATCTGGACTGTTTCTCTCAAAGAGCCTGTTCACTCTGCTGCTTACTGTTCCGCCATCTTCCCAAACTGCGTGGGACTTTAATAGACTGCATAATAGCCCACGAAGCATGCTGAAGTAAATACAAAAGAAGAAAAACTATCCCATGCATATTATCAGGTTACAACACGATGAAAGTGGAAATTAAAAAAAATACTTTCCAGGAAAAAAAAGTGGAAATTAATGACAAAAGAAATCATAGGAATTAAGCAAACATATGGAACTTGAACAATACTTTCTAAATGATCAGTGTGTCATAGATGAAATCAAGAAAGAAATTCCTTGCTAGGATCAACCAATAATTCCAATACAATTTACCAGAGTATATGGGATACAATGAAACTAGGCTTGAGAAAGAACTGTATAGCTGTGAATGCACACACCAGAAAAATAGAGTGAGCCCATGTAAATAACATAACAGTGCACCGCAAGGTCCTAAAAACTAAAAACAATCCAAATTCAAAGCTAGTAAAATAATTATAAACATCAGATTACAAATTAATAAAATTTGAATAAAAACAATATCAATGAATTGAAGAACCGATCTTTGAAACAATAAGCATAGACAAACCCTTAGCCAATTTTACTAAAGAGAGAAAAGATTTAAGTGAATGCAACTAGAAATTTAAAAGGTGAAATCCAAAGGATTATTAGTAACTACTTGGCTAACTTGTACCCTAATAAAATGGAGAATTTAGAAGAAATAGGTACATTTCTAGATCTATATGAACCACCAAAGCAGAACCAAGAAGGCATAAAAATCCTGAGTAATTCAATATTGGGTAATGAGATTGAAGAAGTAATAAACAAGGTACCAACAAAGAAAAGCCTAGTGGAGTCACCCCTGAATTTTAGGAAAGATCGAACGCCAATTCTTTGCCAACCCCTTAGGGAGAGAACACAGGAAGCAATATTCCCAGAGTAATCAGGGAAGCTAACATTACCCTGATTTCAGAACTGGAAAGGGATCTGAGCAAAAATAGAGCTGTAGGACAATCTCTCTAATGAACATTGATACAAAATCTGCTGCAAGATCCTACAAACAGTGCACCAAATAATCAAGATCCTACGTCATGACCAAGTACAATTCATCACAGGATGCGGCATAGTTCCACACACAAAAATTAATAAATATATCGCATAAACAGAAATAAGGATAAAAATCACATAACCATCTCATGATTCCCTTTTGACTCAGAAAAACACTGGCAAAATCCAAGATATATTCATGATGAAACCAATAACAAAACTAGGCATGGTGGCACACACCTGTAATCTTAGCACTTGGGAGGCTGAGGCAGAGAGGATCACCGTGAATTCAAAGCCAGCCTAAGCTACATAGTGAGTTTAAGGCTAATGTGAACTACACAGCAAGACCTTTTCTCAAAGAAACAAGGCTGATTATCTTAAGGTTGGGTCTTGTTTTGGAGGATGGAGATAGCAAATGGTCAACAAGAGCAAAGCAGGAAGCATCTCAGTATGTGACTTCAAATTATAGAGTACTTCAAAGTTAACAGATGCAATAGCAGATGCAAAAACAACTCAAAACACAGTCAGCCACCTGATCTTTGATAAAGTTACAAAATCCTTTTACGAGAAACCCAAAATATAAAGAACACAGTAAGATCTATAATAGAAAATACAAAGATTGGTCTTTTGCAAGAAATAGAGTGAAACAGGTTGAAGGATGGGAAGAGAACTTTTAAAAGTTGGCATATGTACGTGTATCAACTCCCCATGGATAAGGAATCATTATGTACTACAAACATGTACTCATAAAAATGTTACTTAAAAAGAGTTATGATGAATGTCATTGGATTTCATGAAATTAACTTTAATTCCAGTATATCAGAAACATCATTTTAGTAACATGATGAGATTTGGTTAACCACTAAATTTCATGTGACAAAAAATCCACAGAAATTGCTAGTTCACAGAACTTTAAGTGAGATGATTTGACTGAAAGAGAAATGAGAATCCACCAAGATACCTCTAAACTCTGAATCTGTGCAGCTCTTTATATAGTGTCACCACCAAATTTGACTTTTGGGGAATAAATGGAAATACAAATAACCTGTACATTTTGAAAAAAAAGCAGCTAAAATTAATGGTTTTCTAGGACTTTTATATCTGACCCAGCATGAAAATTGGCTTAAAGAGATATGAAAATAATGTTAAAAAATCAAATCTCTTTTTTAAAACCTAAAGAAATAAGTAAAAAAAAAATCTAACAGTTACAATAGATACAATGAAAAGGAAAGAAACTACTCAAAGGAAAATCGTATTGTTTGATCAGTTTTGCATGCCTGTATCTGGTAAGCTGAGCAACTGTTTTGAAGACAACAATTTGCAATATAGCAACCACTGTTAAATTCCTATCATCTTGTTTTGAAATCCTGTATCACTTTTTTTTGTTGTTGTTGTCAGTTGGCTTTTGCTTTTTTGTTTGCTTGATTCCTTTTTGATTTTTCCGTGTCTTTCTCTTTAAAGTAAAATAAACAAATAAAACCTAAGAAAGTTGATATACAAATCATTTGTCCTTGGAAATAAGAGATCAAAGCGACCAATATAGAACAAATATGCCTTTAAATGAATAAGTTGTAATTACACAGTGAAAGCATGTTAGACTTACTGTTACATGGTACAACTTTGATGGAGGGAAAGTTCTTCATCATTTCATTCCCTACGTTGGACCTTCAAGAAATGGGAAAATAACTTAGTCTAACATTTATCCAGATGTTACAGGAAGAATGCCTCATTGGTTTAAATTGGTTGAACCATTCTTAATGCTGAAAAATTATTTTCATTATTTTGATCCATTTTTTTTCTTTTAAATTTCTCTATTATTTATTTGTGCATATTAATTAAATAGTAATGGTTTTCATTGTAGCATTTTCATGCATGGGATAACATATTTTGATTACCTTCATGTAAGATATTCTTGGGAAATAAGGTGGTCAGAGTGTTGGAAACCTATCCCTAGCGGATACTAGTGAATCTAGGAATTAGCGACCTGTGGTAATTCACACTGTCCCTGGGTCCACCTCAGCAGTGGAGACTGAATCAAGGATCTTCGCACCATGCTGCATCTGTAGTCCCTTTTTATTTGTTTATTGTGAGGCAGGGTCTCACTAAGTCACCAAATTACCCAAGATTGGCTTGAGTTTATATCCTCCTGCCTCAGCCTGCCAGAGGGCTGGGTTCATAGGCATGCATCACCATATCCATCTTCTAATCAACTTTCATGAAGTCAGTACTCTCAAATTCAAGCAACCATCACAGTTACATAGAGTATTTGATACAAATCAGGTTGATGAGCCTCACAGCCCAGACCTCTTTCTGTTTCAGTGGTTCAGGATGAGGCTTAAGAATGAATTTCTAGTAAAATCTTGGGTGAAGTGGAAGCTTCCAGATCGAGGACATTATTGTGAGATTTTTGGTCCTAAATTATCATGTCACCTTTCTGCTCCTTTGGTTGAGTGCAAACTCTATGCTGCCTGTTCTATTCTACTATGCACACTTTTTCCTTGATGTTTGTATCACTGGCCTGTATCACCTACAGGACGGAGGCCAAGCAGCTCACAACTTCCTCTGTGTGTCTAACACTGCAGCTTCATCTTCGTCCATTCTTCACCTTCAGAAATCTCCAGGAGTCTGTTTTCCACAGTCTGCTATCTGTAGCCTTGAAACTAGGAATCAGGCCACTTATTCACTATAATATAATAACATTGCCTCATATACTTGTGCTAAGAATTGAACTGATGACTCTACCCAACCAAATCAAGTTTATTCTTTTACCATCCCCAACCTTACCTGGGATAGATGAAGAAGAATTGTTTAACCAGCTTCCAATTTCTAGTAAGACAAATTTTACTCTTATGCTAAAGGTTATATCTGATGGGAATCTCAGTAGGAAATCCAAAGTTGGTTAACGAATTTCATGGTACATTAAAATTAGCACTAATAATCTGTATTGATAATGTACTGGCATTCATTTAACAATGTTTGTCTTCATAATTGTGTGGGGGTAGTACATCACATTTTAGAAAAAGATGCCTAATGTTAGATCATATGTATTATTCTTGAAAAAGTGCTAAGGTATTTGGCACCATGTCCCTAAGAGGCCCCTCAGAGGCTCCTAATATGCCCCTTTTTACAATTCTAAGTTTCTTACCAAAAGGAACACTGTAAATGTGCTCAGATTAGATCGTCCCAGGCAGTATTATCAGAGCAACAGTGGGAACTGGGCAGACTAGTACTAGCTGTAAAAGCTGCCTTCCTCCCGTATGCTAAGTCAGCTGTTCCTTGCGAGGTCTATCATACGGTGGAACAAAGCAAGCTAATAATGCCACTGCCAAAGCAACCTGAGCTGTAAAACCCTTTACCTTACAGTAAGGTGTGGATGATAGCACTGGAGTGCTGTAGGCCAGCCGGTCACCACTGCACAAGTGGAGCACTTTCTGGTGGATAGTTCCCTCCTCATCACCCACCCTCATTACCTCTGGACCTCTGCGTGGTGCTGTTACATTTCATGAACTTGCTCAGCAACATTATTATCCAGTATTTGTCTCCTGTGGGTTTTTCTGAGCAGTGTTGCTATTGACTGTTCATCTCACATGGGATTTTGTCAATAGCACAGTTGAAGAGACATTCTGCAACTCTTGAGAACCTTCTGAGAGCCACTGTTAGGCCCCTGTGCTTTCTTGTGGATGCTCTCCTGCTAGTGACAACTACCCTGTCTTCTGTCCTTAGTTGCAAGTCTTATATTTCAGAAGCCATCTCCGAGTATTTCTTAGCCTCTCAGAAGTACACTCCGCTGCACTACCATAGCTAACTGTGGATACAACACTACTGGAAAAACTATAAGAACTGTGAAAAGCTGTGACCTATGCAATGTTTCTTTACAGGATAATGTCACCTACTTTGCTATCATGCTTATTCATCCAACTCTTAAAAAGAAAACAAAATCTTTTAACTTTAAAGATATGAGTAGCTTGGGGCTGGGGATTTAGCTCAGCGGCATAAGCGTCTGCCTTGCAAGCAGGCAGTCATGAGTTCGATCCCTGGTACCGATAAAAAGGAAAAAGCCAAAAAAAAAAAAAAAAAAAGATATGAGTAGCTGAGAAGGTAACACTTCTAATACTGTAGCTACAAGATAGAACCTTATTTTTAAAATGTATTTCTGCATTACAGATGAAAGGGAAACAGGCTGTTTCCAGAGTCTTGCGGGGAAAAGATGTCAAAGAACCCGCTTGGGTCTATGACTGGGCCTTAGAGCTTAGAGCAGCAGAATGCTCATGAGAGTTCTTGGTTATTTAATCACCTGTGAACCAACTCCTTGCATATGCACCAAGTCACAGATAAGTAGACACAGCTATATCTCCATGCACTGGGAAAAAATTTTTAGAATGGAGTAGAGGATCTAGGAAGGTAATGTGTCTATAGGGAAGTAAAACACATTGTTGTCATGAATACAGCCCATTTGAGAGTCATAATTAGGGCTTACAATATATGAAGATCTGCTACACCAGCAACTTTGGGTTACTTAAGGTATAACAGGAGACTACCAGAAAGCTTTCTCCAACCCACGCTTCGATGAAAACCATCTCTAGATGACGAAATGGCCAACAGGAAGTGTGAAATTGAGTAAAAGTGGCCTCCATGCAGTTATGATGTGATTCTGAGACTTTTAAGATCAGACTGCCTTTCTATATCTCCATGATCGTTTTTCATTTGCTTATTGATAAAACTTTATTTGAAAAAGCTCAATGTCTTTTAGATGAGCCTTAGGATAAAGGGATATTTACATATCTCAGTGAGAAAATCAATAAGTGGAGGTAAGGTAAAGGTAGGAGAGAAATCTCATAGAGATGTAGGATCAGTGGTGCCCTCCGCCTTCTGTTATCACAAAGTTTGAATTAATTTGAACTTGAATTACCAGGATGGTGTTCTATCAATCTGCTCTTCTGAACATATGCCAGAAAACTAAAGCACGTGAATAGCAGTAGTTCCCAAACTGTGGAGCCAAAATCTCTTAAGTGACCCACAAAGTAAGCATTTCGCAGGCAGAGAAGCTTGGAAAATATTTTATCCCTGCTGGAAAGCATCAAAGTTCCTGAGGAATCCAAGCAATGAATCCTGTGTGCTCAGTATCTTCCCTTCCGTCCACTTATTCTTCCACTCAGCAGCTGCTGAGAACCTTCTTGGTGTCGTGTGATGGGCCTGTGAGACGTGCTGTCGGCCCCAAAGGCTTCCTGAGCCCAGCAGATGCCCTCTGAGGCCTCCTGCTCCCACTCAGGATGCTGGGCGCACTCCGGTGTGCTCTGGCCTCAGGTTCTCCCCCCTCTCTTGAGAATGGATTCTCCTCAGAATTCCCATGGCTCGCTCCATTGCTTCATTCAGGTTGCTGCTCAGGAGGGCCTTGCTTGACCATCCTTTTAAAATAACATCAGCCACCCGTTGCAATCCTTCATTTAATGACTTTCTGCCAGAAATCTCTCTATTTTTTGTCTTTATATTTCTCTAAAATGCTAACTCCTAACTCCTAGGTCTGAGTCTGGAATACAGAGGGGATGATTCTTTACAAGTTAAATGAAAGAAAACGATACTTATTGTTTTTCCAGGCTTTAAACTTGGCAGACTAAATTGATATACATTGAAAGTTTAATGGTGTTATAAGTGTTATGCTGAGAAGGAACAAAATACAACGAAGGAATATAGCACTGGTCGGTACTTCAGTGATGTGGATGCTTCCTGGAGGACTTGACTCTACACCAAGGGCTGAGAAATTCCAGAACTGAAAGAAAATACTGTCATTTTTTGAAATAAAGTGAGTATAAATTGGCTAACAAAAAGCAATTCAGGATACCTGTGAGAACTAGACAACTCACCATACCTGTAGAATTAAACAATCCTTTGTAAACATAATATAGTTTGAATTTATTTCCCCCTGAAACAAGAGGTCATGTTGAAGGCATTAAGCAAAGAAAGATAAAAATCACATTTGTATTCCAGAAACATTAGTTTAGGTGCAGTGTAGGAAACAGCTTGAAAGAAATACGAATGGGGCAGAGAAACCAGCTGCGAGATTGTCACATAATTTAATTGAGGTATGATGATAGCTTATGCAAAGGTAAAGGTAGCTGATAAACTATAGCTGACAGTTTATAGAATTTGATGACTCGTTGAATTAAACAGCAAAGTATACTCAATAATGATACTGCTCACTTCTTTGGCAAACCCTCTATTAACACTGTAGGACTAGCATTTCATGTAAAACATCGTAGTAAATGCAGGTTTATAAAATTACTGAATCTGGAAGTATTACAAACAACATTGAAAAGCAAAAGGTATGAACTATGTACAGAGCTTCATTGGCTCCATTACTTTTAGGAAACAGTTCCACAGGTGGCCTCACGGGTCTTAGGAGCACACCACTGGCTGAACTGACTGGGAAGTTTGGATCTGATTATAATTCAATCAATGTGAGTTGATATAAGACATCTTGATTAGAGTTAGGTAGGATTCAAAGTCTACCTTCCTATTTTGTTTATTATATGTGAATACAGCTTTACCTTTGGAAAAGTCTCCATTCTTCCGTGGTAAGGTAGGAGACGCCCCTGTTCCTGGTGCTCATGTGGGTCAGGGCCTCACAGGGAATGTGTGGAGGCTTCACACAGTAGAAGGCTTCTTTGTCTCGAGTGTCCAGGTACTGGCACAGTTCAGCACTTGAGTTAAGGGTCAGGCCACATTCACATAGGACATGAGAAGTGCCATTGACAAACTGGCCTGTGAAGATCACTCTGTCGTAGCCTTGGTTCCGTGCCCTCCAGAGAGCTGAAGCCCCTTCACTGGGGTGCATGAGCAGCACAGACAGGGAGACCTCGCCCTCCCAGAACAGAGTGAAGCTGACGAGGTAGGTGCCATTGTTGAAGTCCGTCACCTTTCCCGAGGCACCTGCCTTCAGGTTTTTGGAGAACATCCTGGCCCTGAGGAAGTCCCCACCATATTCCTTCCTGCGTCCTAGATGGTCCCTCACCTCCAGCAGGACATACAGCTGGTCCCCCCTGCAGTACGTGTCTTGAGGGTTGAGGATGGTGGCCGCACTGTGTGCAGCGCTGGTGGTGACATTCAAATGTGTAAAGGGTCTGGGTGGGATCAGCTGGTTCATTTTCTCCAGGATCTCCCTGATGTTTGATTCAGTTTCTGTTGGTGAGACTGTTGGATTCTGAAGCATTTCAGAGTGTGAAAACTTTCGGAAGATGCTCCACTCATTCGGGATGAAGGGGCTTCTCAGGTGGAGCAAGAACTGAGGTGTGGAGAGGGAAAGGATATGTTTATTATACAAAATAGTTAGTGTATATATTCTCAGCAGATAATAGAGCTTGCTTTTCAATATAAATAGTAGGCTTCATTTTGTATATGTAAGCGTGGGGAAATGATCAGAAATGAATTTCAACTAGGTTTCACTTACGGATATATAGAAATTAATTTCGACAGAATATAGCTTCCTCTACAGCCAGAAGCTGATTACCTTTGGATGTCATTGATTTAAATCATTTACCAGACATAACTAATATGTATTACTTCATTATTAATTTTTATCTATCCCCTTTTTATAAAGATTGTGATCCATTTCACATAAAATGTGGGAGGGTGATGTCTCCTTAGTCCTTTTAGCAAAGTGTGATATTTCTTACTCAGATTTTCTTACTGAAGTAAGCAAATTTGCTCAAATGGAACATCTAATCACCTGGCAATGCATTCTATCATATGACCCAGCAGAGGAGACTACCTGGAGGAGCTGATTGACACCAACTAAATATCTGCTGAGGTTCTATTACAGTCATATTGCAGAAGCACATTTAACCAGAGGACCTTTGTGACAACAGACTGAAGCAACTTGTGGAAATCCGGATCTGGAAACATACCATTGTTCGTTCATTGATATTTTTTGTTTGTTTGTTTGTTTTTGGTAGTCATGGGAATTGAACTTAGGAACCCTGCACTGAACTACATTCCCAATCTTTTTTTTTTTTAAATAACAATTCTTTATTTGAGAGGGGATCTCACTAGTTTGCTAAACTTTCCAGACTAGGCTTTGATTTGGAATTCTCTTGCCTCATTCTCCCCGAACCCAGGATTTACTCTCTGTTTAGCAGATAAATATTTTTGCCACTTTATTACTTGGCTTTTAAAAGAATTTAAGCTGGATGTATTTGTACAAGCCTATAATCTCAGTACTCTGGGGGGCTAAGACATCCAATTACAAAATTCAAAATGAGAGCTGCAGAGAGAGAGAAGAGAGGAAGAAAGGAAGAAAGGAAAAGAGGAAGAGAGGGAGAAGAAAGAGAAAAAGGAGAAGAAGGAGGACAAGGAGCAGGAGGGGGAGAAAAGGAAGAGGAAGAAGAAGATGGAGGAACGAAGGAGAAGGAGAGGAAAGAGAGGGGAATGAAGGGAAGGGAATGGGGAGAGGAGGGGAGGAGAGGGGAGGGGAGGGGAGGGGAGGGGAGGGTTGGGGTGTAACTCAGTGTGAAGGCCCTGTGTTCAATACCATGAATGTGATATCTTTCCATTTATTTGTGTCTTATTTAATTTCTTTCATTATTTTTTTTTTTTTGTCTTTTTCCTTTTTATCGGTACCGGGGATCAAACTCATGACTGCCTGCTTGCAAGGCAGGCGCTTATGCTGCTGAGCTAAACCTCCAGCCCCTTAATGTTTTAAAATTTTTATTTCCTAACAAATTGTTTTCTTGCCATTGAGTTTTGAATTTCTTATAGATTTTAATTATTAAATCCTTATCCAATGAGTGTCTTGCAAACATTTTCTGCAGCTCCAAATGCTGTCTCTTCCTTACACTGATTATTTCCTGGGCAGTAATCATGTACGTCTTATTTTGCCCTGATTTTTTTATCTTTTGGAGCTAAAAACCTTCTCTAAGCTTTCTTTGTTAAAAAAACTTTCACTCTGTTTTCTTGTAGTATTTCAGAGTTTTAAAACTTACATGTAAGTCTTTAATCCATTTAGAGTTGCCTTTTGTGCCTGGTGTGGGATAAATCCACTTACCTTCTTCTGTAAGTGGAGTTCTACTTTACCAACATCATTTATTAAAAAGACTATTCTTTCCCCACTTGTGCTTGGCATCTCTTTAGGAGAATAATTGGTTACAAATCCATGGTTTTATTTCTGGACTTTCTGTTCTACTCCATTTATATTTATCAGTTTTTATCCCAGTACCATACTATTTTGATTATTATAATTTATAATAAGTTTTGAGATCAAACCCTGTAATGTTCCCAGTTTTGTTATGTTTGGTTATTCAGAGTTTTTATGGTTCCATATATAAAATGTTTTATGAAAGATGTCAGTTGAATTTTGATTGGGACTGTATTGAATATGTAGATAATTTTGGGCACTATGGACACTTAAATGGTATTAGCTTTTATAAACAGTGATCATAGGTAACTTTCATTTATTTGTGCCTTCATCAATTTGCACCTTAACGTTTGGCAATTTTCAGTGTATAAGTCTTTTACCTGGTTTACCATATACCTGAGAAACTTACTATGCTAATGTACATGAGATTATTTTTGGTTTTTTTTTTGTTGGGTAGTTTGTGTTTGTGTATAAAAATGTCACTAATTTGTATATGTTGATTTTTTATCAATTTACTGAATTATTTACTAGGTCAAACGTGTTGTGGCTCAGTCTTTACAGTGTTTTACATATAAGATCATGCCATCTGCGTATAGGAATAACCTAATAGCTTCCCTTCCAATATAGATGACTTTATTTATTGTTTGCCTGTTTTTATACAATTGCTCTGGCATTTTCAGTACCACGTTGAGCAGAAGTGGTAAGGCTGAGAACTCTTGAGTATTTCTAATCCTAGAAGAAAAGCTTTTAGCTTCCACCCCTAACTCTGTGGGCCAGTTGTACATATGTGGCTTCGTTACATTGAGGTACTTTCTTCTTTACCCAATTTGTTAAGACTTACTGTCATGGAAGGATGTTGCATTTGGTCAGCTTCCTGTGCTTCTGTAGGTATGATTGCATGGCTTTTATGAGTCATCCTATTAAAGTGGCATATATAAGTTTGTGAGTGACTGATTGATTAGTACGTGTTGAACCATGCTTCTATCCCCGGAATAAATGATATTTGATCATATCAATGTCCTTTTTAACGTGATTCTGAGTTGGGAATTCTTACATCTATGTTCATCAGGGATACTGGCTTGAGTCTATATTCTTCTAGTGTACCTTTCAGGCTTTGTTATCAATATAACGATAACTTTGTAAAATAAGTTTGGAAGTAATTATTCCTAATATGTGAAATTAGAAGACCACATATTAATTCTCTAAATGTTTTTAGAGAATTCAGTTGTTTAGCCTTCAGATCCTGAACTTTGCTACTTTTTCTCCCTCTTTCTCTTTCTTTCTTTCCTTCTTTCATGTTGGGAAGTAAACCCAGGCCCTTTCCACTGAGCTAATTTCTAGTCCTTTAAAAAATATTTTTCTTTGGAAACTTAGACTCCAATTTCAAAATGGCCCATGCTGGTTTCAATTTGTAACCCTTTTGCTCAGATCCCCAGAGTACTGGGATTCAGGATTTTCTTGATGAAAAAGGTTCTGCTGATGAAAGAGATTTATTTTCTAAATTTATTTACTGAATTATTACATAGATCAGAATTTCTATTTCTGCAGACATGTTTGGTTGTATACATCTAGAAATTTATCCATTTTCTAGCTATTCCAATACGTTGACTTATAATCTTTCATGCTGGTCTTTTATAATCTTTTGTATTTCTAAGTTGTTGGTCATGATGTCACCTTTTAAAATCTCTGATTTTATTTACTTGATTCTTGTCAGTTTATCTGTTAGTCTAGCTAACCATTTGCACTTTTAAAAAACTAACATCTAGTTTTCTTGTTCTTTAGCAATGTTTTTCTTGCATGCATGAATGAGATAGACACTGGAAAAGCACTTTTAAAAGGGAAAAGCTGTGCGCTAAGTGCCGTCGGAAGAATCCTCAGGAGACAGCAGCAGCAGGCGCTGGGCCAGCGCTGGTGCTTTCAGGACCAAAGGTCCATGGAAAGCAGACTCTCCAGAACCTGGAAGGGCCAGGAAGGGAGTCTTTTGTCCCCCAGAGCCTCCTGTCGAAGAGATCGCCCTCTGCTATCTCTCAAGGTCAGCCCAGTGAGACCCGTCCTGGAACACTGACCTCCAGGGATGTAAGACAACAAATTTACATTCCTAAAGCCACCAAAGCTGTGGCAACCTGTTACAGCAGCAATAGAAAACTAATTAAGAGTGGTTTGCAAGCCTTCAGTCATTTCAGCAGCTCTGCTATTATTGGGTTGGAGACTATTGTCTCTCTTTTCTCAACTTATGATTTCTCTAGTTCTTCATAAACTGTGTAATTTTAGGTCACATTCTAGATATTTCAAATATTAGAGATAATAAAGAAATCCTGAGTCTTGTTCAAACCCTAAGGAGAATGTATATTTTTTTAAAAAATGCTTTTCACCTAAGTGTGATGATGCCACAATTTCAGTCCATCTTCTGTGGGCTCTAGCTACAAGTCTGTTTGATCCTCAGAGTCTTCATTGTGCTATTTCAAACTGGCTGGTTACCAGGCCTCTATGTATATGGCATTCAGGGGCCAATCTGGCAGCAGGCCATGGCCCACTCACTAGGTCAAGTCCCAAAACCTGTGACACACTGTTTAGGGAAGTCAGCACATGCCCAGCTAACAGTTGAGCTCAAGAGTTCACACATCACTTTAGGACATGGTTCATTTGAGCGCCATCTTCACTAAAGTCTCCAGGGTCAGGGATAGAGCTCAGTGGCACAGCACCTGCATTGCAAGCACAAGGTCCTGAGTTTGATTTCCAGTTTCCACCAAAAACCAAAGAAACAAACAAACAAATAAATAAATAAAAATTTCCCCAACCTTTTTCCTTATATACATAATTCCTTCTCATAGCTTAACCCTTGAGAAACAGTCACTTATTTTTTTCTCTATGTTTACAATTTTGTCATGGCACGAATGTTCTATAAAAGAATCACACAATATAGGAGACATAAATATGATCAAAAGCATGTTAGTATAAGATGCTTAATATTAGACAAACAAGAGGCAGCTGTCTTTAAAATACCCTTGTCATAGCAAGGCCTGAGTCAGCCCTGTGTATTCAATTTCGTGTTTAGCCAAATTTCCCTATTAAGTTAAAAGCCTGCCACAGCGCGCGCACACACACACACACACACACGATTTCTATGCTTAATTCAAATGCTTCTCTCCTAAAAAATTTCATGTTGAAGCGTGGAATCCCTACCTCCCAATGGTATGGTATTAGGAAGCAGGGTCTTTGGGGAGATGATTGGGTCATGGAGGGAGGGTCCTCATGAACGAGATTAGAAATGTTATGAAGACACTCCCAAATATAAAAAAAGACCTCAGAGAGCCCTAGGTCCCTTCTGCTGCGTAAGGACCTGGTGAGAAAAGGACATCTATTCTCAAGAAATGGAGCCTCACTAGCTATTAAACTTTTCCTTTTCTTTCCTGTGTGTGGCAGAGGTAACCAGGACTTGAACCCATGGCTTTCTTACTGAGCTTATTTCCAAGAGCTTATTTTATTTTATTTTATTTTTATTTTGAGACAGGGTTACACTAAGTTGTACACTGAGTCACTAAGTTGTCCAGATGCTCAAACTTCTGTTCTCCTGCTTTGGCCTCCCAGACTGGGGGACGTACTGACACACACCACCATGCCTGGCTCTGGACTTGCTCATAGACTTCCCAGCTTCCACAATTATGACAAATCAATTTCTATTGTTTATAAAACACCCAGTCTGTGGTACTGTGTTGGAACAACCCAAACAGACTAAAAGAAAGCTGTTATACACACATGTAATCACTCATTTCTCTTACGTGTGTATAGATACATTTTTAAACTCTATACTTTCTTTCATAAAAATCCTAAGATCTTTTGCTTTGCATGATGCACCTGACCAAACGTCACCTCTAATTACATACTGCTCCTCCTCTGTATCATTTTCTCAGCCATTGACTTCTTTCATTCCTTATCAAAGATTTTAAAGATTATGGTCTCCTTCAGCCTAAAAGTCCTGACACCCTCCACGTAGATGCAACATTCCCAGAGGCAGACCTCACAGACCCACAGCTCTTTCTTCCCTAACCTCCCCAGGCCTTCAAAAACAGTCAGAGGGAAAATCAGCTTCCTGCTAAGCATAAATGTAATCACATCTTTGCTTTGCTACTTTATACGTTTTTTTTAATTCACCTTTTCCCGTAAGAATTGATATACAGGGGCTGGGGATTTAGCTCAGCAGCATAAGCACCTGCCTTGCAAGCAGGCGGTCGTGAGTTCGATCCCCAGTACCGATAAAAATGAAAAAGACAAAAAAAAAAAAAAAAAAGAATTGATATACATTTAGGTGTCTCCCATATTGAAGAAAGGAGATGTCAAGCTCCCTAGTCTCCTACGGATTAAATGTCCCACAGGTTCTCTTCCAGCCCTTTCTCAATGTCTCTCCCACCACTCACGTTGCAGCCCGGTACATATTCTCGTCCACAGAGCTTCATCATTAGCAGCTTTTCCTCCTCACTCTGCAGTGCAAACAAGGAAAGACTTTACCCTCCAAGCCTTCAGCCTCCATCTGTACCCTAAGGCTCCTGTAGGTACGTTTTCTAAGCCAGCTCTCTCTCAGTCTCAGATCTGTACATCCCACAGGCTGATGAAGTAGTATCATCCATTTGGATGACTTTAACAGCTTCTATCACAGGCTTTTAAAAATATAAATATGCCTTTTGTTCTCCAAAACTACTTGTCCCACTCTTGCCTGTACTTCAGTAAATGGAATCACCAGCCATGAACTTGTGCAACCCCAGCATTAAGGCCTGGTCAATCCAGCTCTTCACCCCCACGTGTCAATCACTCTTGCTGTCAACTGTTTCCTGTGCTTACTGACGTTTCTCCTTCTCAATACTAGTACCTCATTTCAAGTCACCATCACTTACCACCTAGGAAGGCTGCATGAACTTTCTTTCTTGACTTACTTATTTTAATTAATCTCAGCAAGTGTCTTTAGCAGTTATAGATTTCGCATTTACTGCATGCCAGGCATTGTTCTCAGTGCTACAAATATGTCAGCAAATAATATGTGCTAAAATCCTTGCCCTCCTAGAGGTCACCATGTACTGAATAAGACAGACAATGATCAAGGAACATTGTGGTCAGGACATTATACAGTATGCTCTAGGAAGTAAACAATGCAGTTGCAAAAAAAAAAGTCAAACAGCATAGGAGGAATGCTAAGAAGTTGGGGTGGGCTTGCATCTAGTACTAAAGAAAGATGCCATCACCAATGGGAGGACGAGAAACCGGAAGCATGCTCAGTTATGGAAAAGTGTGTAACTGGATTACACAAAAAAGTTTTTAAAACCCTGGGGAGAAGGCAGAAAACGGAAACAGATTTAGTTGGATTAGGGTCTCAGGTGCCAAGGGAGGAGAAAACCTTGAGGCAGCTTTGTAAGGAGTTCCAGGTGGTACAGACAACCTCAGATGCTCTGGCACTGAAATACTACAATGGCATACACTGTCACAGAATAATGATCCACAGGGAGCCCCTCACCCGCAGTCTTTGGTGAGATGGCATACTTTTAACTTGTGTTTCCTGTCTTGGTACAGGAAACATTCAAATAAAGACACTGTTACTTTCCTTGAGATTCTTAGAAAGAAGACAATACCTACCTTCGTTTGGTCTTTTGAAGCCAAGTAAATGACCCAGAATAGTAAGCTAAAAATCAGCATCAGCAATAATTTGCGAACTATGGTATTTGGAAACAATGCAAGGATCCTAGGAGAGAGGATGGGAGAAACAATCACACACTCAGTCAATCAGCGTGGACGCTGGTTCCCCCCAGTAGTGTCCAGAAGAGGGTGATGGTCCCTGAGTGTTCAGGGTTCCTTCATATGTTCTGTTAGAAGTCAGAAACAAGGCTCTTCCCTGAGGCAGACAACAAAACTAGCTGCAGGATTTCTGGTTTGTCACTTTCCAGTTGATCATCAGTTCTCTGAACTTTTTGTCTCATCCAGGACTCAGTGTGACCAGCAGGATTTTAGTCATTGCTGAAAGGAATACTTTTGTTCTAGTGCCCTGCAATAAATTTCAGTCTCTAAATTTCACTGCCCCCACACACGTGTCCTCCTCTGGTCTTACTTATCTGCAGAGGCTCATTTAGAAATCTCCTATTATTTTTTGCTCAGGGCTTGCTTCTACATCAGATTCTTAGCTCATCATGCTGAAATAGTTAATAGCTCCCCAAACAGAAATGCTTATAGCATTTAGAAAAGGTCAGAGTTAGTAGTCAAAATTTTACTTTTAATTTTCATACTCAGGAACTCAAAATTAAGTGACTAAGTGGTAAATTATGCCACTGTTCCTCAAACATTTTTAATGGGACCCACGGGGGAAAACATCACACACAAATTCAAGGACGTATGAACACCCAAAAGTACACATCACAATTCTCATGAAATGATACTTATTGTATGGAGTGCACTATTATTTTCTAATACTTTATTGCATTATTTCCCATTTTAAAGCAGCTCCCTTTCCCAAACAAAATCATTTTCCTGTCTGCACTCTTCAGCCACGCACAGCGCTGATTAGCACAGGGTTGCCCCGCTTGTCCCTGACACTAAGGCCAACCAGTAAGGATCAGAGGGTACACACCTAGAGATGTATGTCCTCTCCATCATATTCTTACTGTCTCCCACCGCTGCCCAGAGACTCTCCTTGGTTAAAGCAGTCTTTGCATTTATTTCAGGCTTGCAGTTTCCCTTTAAGCTTCATTGATCAAAGGCTGCCAGCATGCCAGCTGGTATCACCAACCTCCTTTTCAGTGCCCTGTTCCTGCTCACCCCACAGAGCCAGGAGAAAGAAGCCAGGAGGACACTCTGAAGTTTGCTTTTAGAAGATGGACTTCTAAGGGCAAGGCAAGATTTGTCACCTCTGGGTGAAGATTTGCAGGTTTATATACTTCGCTTGCTCACGCCTTTGTTTGATTAAGCAACAGGTTAGCCAGGCAATTCCAGGGTATTGGGAGAAGAATCTAAAAAGTTGGAAAGAAGGTAAACAGCTTAGCATGGCTAAGAATTAATGGTTGGAGTGTTTTGTTTATAAACTTCTTTCCCTTACTCTAAACCACAGCATGCATTGACCATGATGGTTTTGTCAAAGTCTATCTCATATGATAAAAAGAGCAGTCCTGGTCTACATTTTACTGTAACATGTAAGATAAGAGAGAATACAGTACATATGTGTCATTAAAGTTAATAAATTGTCACAGAGCTGCTATCGACCAGGACGTCTCCTAATACTCTGTGACATAAGCCTCACACAGCAGAATGGTCTCTATAGCTAACTTGTCTGTATACAGACAAAGGCAATAGGTATCTAACTTTAGATATGTACTTATGTGTTTCATGTATACTCATATTTGTTTATTTGCTTCTATTCCAATTCCTCCAGACATATATCCATATAACTATATTCATATATTCATACCATGACTGTAATCATACTATATTCACACCATGACTGTAATCACAACATGCTAGAAATCAACAGAGGTACATTAGATTACTTCCATAGGAATTTAAGAAACTAAAAGAGCTATAAATTCTGTGAATGCTTCCCTCCCTGTTATAAGGCGTACTACCATGTGCCACATGTAGTATTGTTAGATTACAGTCAGGTACCACATAACATCCTTCCAGTCAGCGACTGTAGTCTCCTAAGATTTTGTTGCCTAGTGAAAGACTAAATGTAGACTGACTATTAATATTGCTGGCTGGTAAAGACCAGCATGAACGTACAGCCTCTCTAGGACCTGCAATTGAGAGACAAACTATAGCTTAGTCAAGAAAAAAGAAAAAACAGGTAGTTCTCTGGGAATCAAGAAAGCGACAACATGAAAACTTGAAGCTACAGGGAAATTGAAAACAATTTGCTAAGAAAGGAATAAAGCGGTTCCCAATTTCAGTGAAACACTTACCTGGGCTCTCAGGAAGCGGGTTCTACTCTGCTCAAACCAATTAAACAGGTGAAGGGAAAAAGCTCTTGGGAAAAACAATGAACTGCACCAGTAGTGTTAGCCCCAAGAAAACCCTGCAGTCACTGTAAGCTGAAGAAACACCAGGGTGCTTTACTGTAAAGGAACTCTTCCCACGGGTTAGAGTTAGAGAGGAAACCTAGGTGGCACCCACCACATTTGAGAGCGTTTCATTAGGAGCCATTGGGGAACCAGTTAATTGTTTAAGGCTGAGGGACAAGATAACTACAAGTGACTACACTTAGGGTTTCTGGGGTCACCGTATGACAGTGACTGGATGGGAGATAGTCACAAGAGACAGTCATGGAGAGGGTTGGTTTAGATGCAGACCCCCTAGGAAGTTTAAACTCAGGCTGGGAGGGACCTGGGAACCCATTTCTCTGTGTTGAGAAGCGAGGAGCGTCATGTGTGGGTTTTGCAGTGTCCTGGGCATGCTGCCATTAAGTCCAGCAGACCATTTGTCACACACCCTGCCCTGCTTGCAGCGTGGAATTCAGTGGTCTGTTTACTTTCCATCTGCCAACGTGACCAGTGATGCACCTTGACTTGGACGACTGCCGGAGCCTGCGTATATAGAAAGAGGGACTTCTGGCGCAAGGTGTGGGGGGAGGGGGCACCACATAAACCCACATACCATAAAGCTAGGTGGAGAAAGCAATAACTCAGAGTGTGAGGAAACTGGGAGTGAATGGAAAGATACAACTCCAGGCCAGTCACCACTGATCCATCACACGCAACAGGAAAGCTAGGGCGGGTCTCAGCATTCACACGCAAAAAACGTAAACGTGGAAAAAAACAATAAAATTTACTAGTGATGCACTGTTCTTCCCTTACCTGTAAAGGCAAAAAGAAAAACCTCCCAACTCCCAAGAAAACCAGAAAGGAGAAAGAACAGTAAGTCCCAACAATTCTTCCATGGTTTTGAGTATTTTTTCCAGGAACTAAAGCATGAGAATCCACCAGATGATCCAACAGTTCCACCACTGAGTGAATATCCAAAGGAATTGAAGTTAGCCTGTCCAGGAAATATCTGCTTTCTTATATTCATTGCAGCTCAATTATCATGACATGGAAATAATTTGTGTCCACCAACAGATCAATGAAGAAAGAAACTGTGATAAAGATGGAAATCATCATTTGCAGTAACATGTATGTCCTGGAGAACCTCGTGCTGAATGAAATGGACCAAACGTGGAATGACAAACACCGCATAACCTCACTGATTCTTGTAGAATATAAAGCATCAAATGCATAGAAGTAGAGAGTAGAATAGTTGTTGCTGGGAACTGGTGGAGGACAGGAGGCAATGGGGGGTCACGGGCTCCAATGCTTCAATGAGGAAGAATAACGTTAAAGCTTTACTCATGCTGTGATGGAGTGGTACACCACTGTGGATACATTCCACATTTCATGAATCCATGTATCTATTGATGGACATGGAGGCCACTTCCAAGACTTACCTATGATGAGTTGTGTTACTATAAACATGGATATGCATGTATCACTGTAATACGATGCCTTCAACTCTTTCGGGAAGACATATAGCAGGGAAATCGCTATATCGTATAATAGTCCTGTTTTTAATTTTTTGAGGAAGCTCCATACTACTTTCCATAAAAATCACACTAATTTACAATCCTGCAAACAATGGATAAGATCTCCTTTTGTCCCCATCTTCAGCAACATCCATCTTTCCCCTTCCTTGTGATACTGATTATAACATATTCTGACAAGCCTACTTTGTGTGACATAGTTACCCCTGATTTCTTGGTTATCATTTGCATGGGATGGGATACATTTTTCTATTATTTCACTGAACTAATATGAGTTCACCGTAGGCAGTATATGATTGAATCTTACCTTCAAGCTTTTTAGTTATTCCTTGTCTTTTCATTAGAAAATGTAAGCCCCTTACTTTTACATTCAAAGGAATTACTGATGGATGAGAATTTAGTACTGCCATTTAGTTTATGGTGCTGTTTTTTAGTGACTTCATTCCACTATTATACCCTGATTTTCCTTGGTGATTTGATGATTTGTTTTTTGGAAGAGGTCTCACTATCATAGTTGAGGCTAGCCTTGAACTCAGTATGTAGCCTAGGTTGGGCTCAACTAGAAATCCTCCTTCCCCACCCTGGGATTAATACTGGGATTACAAATGAGCTTTAATTTGATGATTTTTATTTTGTAGTGGCATGCTTTTATTGTTTTCTTTATTCCCTGTGAAATTTCTGAGTGTTTTCTTTGTGGTTATCATGAAGCTGATATAAACTATATGATGGTAATTACACATCATTTAGAGCTGATGCTGACTTCACTTTGACAACGTACAACCACAGCCGGAAATTCTGTGAGATTTCTCTGCCCTCTAAAACTAAGTGAAACTACTGAGCCCATAAAGGGTAATAAATGTGTGTGTTCTTAGTTATTTTATACTGTAACCACGAATAGCATAGCAATACAAATCCAACATACACAGTTATAATGAACTCATGTCAGTTACATGATATTGCTTCGTGTGATAGACAGAGACCCTGGACACAGAGAGGGGCTACAAAACTGACATAAGGTCACCATGTCAGCCGCTGAGCCTTCTGGCTAGATCTCCAGCCCCGAGGTGGAGGTGATTCTCTTCTCTTGCCAATTCTCCAGTTACATCTGAATAAAGTCTTACTGTATTTCTCTGAGGATCTGTTGATTTTTTCATAATTTTTCTTTCTGTTTCTCAAATTTCATCTTTTCTATTATCTATCTTTAGATTTGCTGATTCTTTCTTTTGTCAGTTCAAATTTCCTGTTAAGCAACCCCACCTGTACTCCATTTGTCCATTTAAAAAAATATAATTAACGTATGAAATATATATTTACTTTACTTTTTAGAATATAATTTCTATATTAAATGCAGTTTCTATTTCTTTTATTGATAATATTTTGACTTGATACTCTCAACATGCCTCCCATTATTTTTTTAAGCAAGGCTTCTGTTAGTTTTTTTGAAATTTTTTTTGTCGTTGAAATGAATTTATTGGTTTCTATCAGTGTCACAGAGAATGCTTGCTAATTTAATCAGATGTACTTCTTTACATCATCTCAAAGCCAGTGTAGGAATCTTATTATCAAATTAGCAAGTAAATCTTACACTTATGTTAAATGAGTTCCAGCAAAATTTATTTTTTATTTTAAAACAAAGAAATAAAAACAATGATACAGAATTTCAAAACAAAATAATGGGAGATTAACGATTGTCAATATATTGTATTATCTTCAAAACAGTTGTTCAGATTACAAGATACAGACATGAAAAATGGTCAGAAAATCAAGAAATGGAAGCGGGAACCATTCTTTTTGAAGATCTGAAAGTGACTAGCAGTCTAGTTTCTGTCATATATATGTGTATACATATATAAATATATATATATAACCCTTCCCTTTCTTTCTTTTCTCTTTTCATCTATGCTAGTTGTTCTTTCCTTCTGAGCAGTTTCTGTCCCTTTCACAATATTTATTGTATATTTTTAATTTTATTTGCTCTTTAAGTTGTGTATACTAGAGAGACAATACAATATTCACACATGAGTCAGATTTATTTCACTTATGATTATGGTTATATCCATTTACCTATCTATAAAAGCTCATTTATCCTTATTTATAGCCAAATGGTACTCCATTGCATAAAAATACCACCTTCTTGTCCATCCCATGGGCATTTGGGTTGTTTTCAACATTTATCTATTACAGATTTTATTGCTACAACATGTCTGTGTATTGATCACTGTGGTATGATGTTTTCAATTGTTCTGGGAATCGTTGAGTCTAATGAGATGTTTAATCCTAGCTTTCTAAGGAACCTCCACACGGATTTCCACAATGGTAACACCAGTTTACACTTCCACCAATAGTGGAGAAGGTTCCTTTCCACCACAACTCCACTAGTATTGGTTGATTTCTTGATGTTAGCCATTTTTTCTGGAGTGAGATGGAGTCTCAGTGTTGTTTTAA